CCAACATCCTCACTACTAAGTCGTTCATTTTACGGCATGATTCGAAACAAGGGGGGGGGAATCGACACTCCGGGATTTCGATACTCCCGTATTCCAACCGTACTTCCAGAAGAGAAGTGCGGAAGTGGAAGAGACATGAAAAGCTGTAGTCTATTGCGAAAATAGATTAACTCAATGGAAAATGTTAGATTATATCAGATTTTCTCAGGTTAGAAGCGGATTATTCTGCAACAAAACTGAAACTATAATCGCATTGAAATAGATCTACAAAACTCAGTGTAATTTGGATTTAAAAAGTTTTTCGATTCGTATCGATTTTTATGCAAATTATGTTAGATTTCGTAGATTTATTTCGATTCGAAGTCACATTCTCGTTGATACTAAAAGATTCTAATGCGATTATAATGTCGATGTTGTTGAAGGGAAATCCCATTGTTATCTGCGAAAATCTGATATTTTTTCACTGGGTATCACATTGAGAACCCTTCTAATGGATGTAATTTGAGATTTTCCTCTATTTGGGTGTAAGTGACCATCTTGAGGGTGAGTAGTGTCATGACCAGTTTCGACCTTGCTCAAGGGTCTCGTCAGATAGCTTTATTACCTTAAGTGGATCTTCGAAAATCAATTCAATTCAAATTTAATGAAAAATTCAAATTCAAAGTTGAGTTCTAATCAGATGTATATTGAGTAAGTAATGACGTGTGTGTTGATTAATAATCTGAAATGAGAATAACAATGTCATAGAAATAAAGTGGAAAAATATCTATTTGGTGTTTTCTCGAAAACAGAAGAACGATATTTAATGAAATTGGTTTATTTTGTCATATATGATAGAATAGTTTTCGATGTTTGGAATAAATATTTATGACAAAGTCAAGATGATGAATTTAGAATATCGTAGATCATGATTTCTTTTGGTGTTGTCGAAGACGTTCTAGTTAGGATAGGAAGAAAATTCGATTATTTTATTCAAATGCAGTTATACACTTGAATATTTCAATCGTTTCATTCTCATTGGTGTATTTGTTAGTAAATACTGCGTTGGACGCTTGTAGATCAGTTGTTTTTTATTATCTGGACGATTACGATTGCCAACAAGCATCTTTGCTGCCATAACTGGTGTATTCTGGAATATGTTTTCACGGATGTGATGCATATCTCGTTTGAAAGGACGAAATCGTTTTTCATTTTTATAATGAATAAAGAATCGGTCAAACGAATACGAGTGTTCTTTATGTTTGGTAGTTGTATTGGTACTCATTCATTCGTTGATTGCATCTACTGATTCGATACTTCTTGCCGTTTGTGTTTGGCGAACTTTTGATTTATCCAGTATCTTTTGACGTAGTATAAAAATTTGTGTCATTTCAGTGACAGCTGGTGTGAATGAGTTTGTATTGGTGTATCCCAAAAGGTACTTATAGAATTGCTCTTCAATATACGACGAAGAATAACTGAGAGGGAAATTAACAGTTATATTTCAAGGTGTTTCTGATAGTCATGAGCTAAATACGCACCCATTATATAATAACATAAGTTCTATTTGACTGTTTTCATAATTAAATGTTTTCATATCTGATGAATATTGAATAGCTCGACCCAGTACAGTTCGAATAACATTTGCATGTACGTATGGATGATGATCAAAACTGAATGGTACTAGGTCTGGTTGAGCAGATGGCTTATGATAAACAGATGTTGAAAGAATACCATTGTTATTTGTTAAGAGCACATCAAGAAATGGAAGACTTCGGCCAATTTTGTAATCTAACTGAATATTTGAATGCCGTCGACTAGCTCCATGTAATAACTTCCTTAGTTCTCTTTCAGATCGATTCCAAGTCATAAAAATATCATCAATATATTTATAAAGTATACTAATAATTAAATTGAAGTTCTTTCCATTCTGTTACATTTACCTGCCAAAGAGGTCACCGGTGACATCATGTTGACGAACGAACTCTTTTTGCCAGTTCCACATAAATATATTGGCTAATGTTAAAGTGAATGATGAACCCATGGCACCACCCGTTGTTTGTTGGTAGGTTATGTTACTATAGACAAATACATTCTCTTTAATAATGATGGAGGCCAATTTTCGAATTTTATCAACAGCAATATCTTTTAATTTCGATGTCCATGGATATGGAGAAACTCAATGAGAATATTTTATGCTTCATCTTGTGGTACATGTATATTTAGTGTTCATTTGAAGTTCAAGGGTAAATTTAAATTGATCTCTACTGTCGGGTTTACCATACCATGCAATTAAATTTTTTAAAAGATCAAAGCGATGAAAATGATCTTTATACATAAAACCATCTAGCCCAATACTACTGTTACCAGTCAGAATATAAAAGCCATTCTTACTCACATTTACCTGTATGGCTTCATAGTAATAAGCTTGAGAAAAATCATACAATTCACGTGAAAATATTTCGTAATTGTGTGTTAAGGTAGAAGAATACATTGCTTGAGTTATAGATGGAACATTTCCTAAAGAAACAAAAATTTGTATAAAAATTCGTCTATATTATAATATAACATTGACTCTTCCAACCATCGCATAATTAATATCAACAATTTGGAAAATTGTTCTTGCTGAACACGATAGTGCAATAGAACAATAGCTAATGATACAAACTGTTCTCAAAATAAAGATGTGAAAAGCAAAATGTTTACGGTTATATGATAGGATTTCTAATATCGTTGTTTATTCCGCACTGTAAAAAAAGGGCAGAGTAATAAACCCTCAAAAAAGGTTTATGACTAAAAAAATCGTTTATTAAAGTATTCTACCCGTTGATAAACCCTTTTTCCATTGATCGATTCCATCAACCCTGAATTGGAGGGTTTCTTATAAGTGACGATAAACTCTGTGTTTGAGGGTTGATGGAATTGATCAATGGAAAAAGGGTTTATCAATGGAGAATAAACCCAAGGGTTTATCATTTTGCAACGTATAACAAACCCTCTATGGGTATTTCAAGGAAAAAGGGTTGATCAACGGGTAGAATACTTTAATAAACGATTTTTTTAGGCATAAACCTTTTTTGAGCGCTTATTACTCTGCCCTTTTTTTTACAGTGCAATGTCTACAGTGAAGAGTAAACATTTCTTTCTATTCATTTTTCTTTTTAACTATAGTTTCAAAGATTATTTTGGAAACAAATTCAAAGATCACTTTTTGTATAAAACAATTTGATAAAATATTTCATGAAGCAAAAAAATAGATTCTGTTGCTAA